TGCATCTCTTTTACTGAAACACTGAACAGCTACAACAACATTCTACTGCTGTGGCTTTGATACATGATTATTACTGTTATTTTCTAAGGATGCTGCTGCTGCTGCTGCTGCTACTGCTGCTGCCGCGGCTTGATACAGGATTATTGCTGTTATTATCTGAGGTTACTGCCGCTGCTGCTGCTGCTGCTGCTGCAACCCACTCTCTCAGAAGCTTATCCTGCTTCTAATGGATGCAGCCCGGCTGAGTATGCCGCGCTGCGCTGGACTCGCACCTATGCTCCCGGGGTCGCTTCGGCGGTCATGCTTCATCTCCCTACTTAATCTTCTGATCTATCAGATGCAGCTGGCCGAGTAGCTGCGCTGAGCCGTCAATCGGACTCCTAATCAAAGGCATCCATACCTGTATTCTTCACTCTTCTGATCGCAGGCTCCCCATCATGCTGCCCATCCTGCAGCAGCTCTGAACTCCGGCTCATCTTCCAAGTACGTATCTGCCCTCCTCGCAGCATCTTCCTGCTCTCCTTCTGTGGCTTCTCTGCATAAGCGAGTTCACTACTGCTCACTCAACCTTCATGCGGTCCGAGACACGGCTTCCCCGACCATCCTCCTATCCTGATTATCTACTCTCCAACCCAAGATTCTAAGCGTAAGGGCGCCTGCAACATCAATGGCCCTCTCCGATATGTCTCTGCCCCTACAGGTCTCCGCTTCTACACGGATGCTGCCCCTTCCGTGGGTTTTGGGGGGTTCTTCCAGGACCCGTGGTTTGCCGGGCCGTGGCCGCTACTTCCACCGGAGCATCTCCTCTGCCCTACACGAGATATTCCCAGCGGTCGTGGCCTGCGCGCTGTGGAATCACATGTGGCAGAGAAAGAGGATCTCTGTCATGTGTGATAATCTCGACGTAGTGGAAGCATTACACAAAGGTCGCTCTTTTTCACCCAACATAATGTCCCCTGACCATTTCAACCTCCGTCTCAAACATTCAAAAATCAAAGGAGCCTGCAATATAGTAATAGCTCGCTCGGACACATCTCTCTGCCCCTACAGGTCCATGATGCGTTACACTCGCCTCCGCTGCAAAAAGGAGATTTTAACGGACCTCTATTTCTCACTCCAGACTTCTTCCCATGACAGCAACCTGGTTCAGAGCTCAACTAAGATCCCTACTGCTCCTCTGTAAATTGTCTCCCCAGCTCTACACAGCCCACTCCTTCAGGATAGGCTCCCCCACACCTCTCTGCAACAGCTGGGACGCTGGTCCTCTTCGGCCTTCTCCGTCTACATCAGGCCAGACGCGTCCGCCATCTTGGCTGCACAAAGGCTACTGGCTTCCTCGTAAGCTCCCAGCAAAGCAATACAAAGCAAAGTAAGTGAACCAATAAGATTCTGGTGGCGGCACGCACTTTTTCAAAGATAACTCTGTTGCAGCGTCCGGTTGATCGTGATGCGAGCGCTCACGTCCCGGCGCTCAAAGATAACTCTGCCGCAGCGTCTGGTTGATTGTGATGTGAGCGCTCACGTCCCAGGCAGCGTCCGGTTGATCGTGATGCGAGCGCTCACGTCCCGGCGCTCAAAGACAACTCTGCTGCAGCGTCTGGTTGATCGTGATGCGAGCACTCACGTCCCAGGCAGCGTCCGGTTGATTGTGATGCGAGCGCTCACGTCCCAGCGCTCAAAGATAACTAGCTGCAGCGTCCGGTTGATCGTGATGCGAGCGCTCACGTCCCAGCGCCCAAAGATAACTCTGCCGCAGCGTCTGGTTGATCGTGATGCGAGCGCTCACGTCCCAGCGCGCAAAGATAACTCTGCTGCAGCGTCCGATTGATTGTGATGCGAGCGCTCACGTCCCAGGCAGCGTCCGGTTGATTGTGATGCGAGCGCTCACGTCCCAGCGCGCAAAGATAACTCTGCTGCAGCGTCTGGTTGATCGTGATGCGAGCGCTCACGTCCCAGGCAGCGTCCGGTTGATTGTGATGCGAGCGCTCACGTCCCAGCGCGCAAAGATAACTCTGCTGCAGCGTCCGGTTGATTGTGATGCGAGCGCTCACGTCCCAGGCAGCGTCCGGTTGATTGTGATGCGAGCGCTCACGTCCCAGCGCGCAAAGATAACTCTGCTGCAGCGTCCGGTTGATCGTGATGCGAGCGCTCACGTCCCAGGCAGCGTCCGGTTGATTGTGATGCGAGCGCTCACGTCCCAGCGCGCAAAGATAACTCTGCTGCAGCCGTCCGATTGATTGTGATGCGAGCGCTCACGTCCCAGGCAGCGTCCGGTTGATTGTGATGCGAGCGCTCACGTCCCAGCGCGCAAAGATAACTCTGCTGCAGCGTCCGGTTGATCGTGATGCGAGCGCTCACGTCCCAGGCAGCGTCCGGTTGATTGTGATGCGAGCGCTCACGTCCCAGCGCGCAAAGATAACTCTGCTGCAGCGTCTGGTTGATCGTGATGCGAGCGCTCACGTCCCAGCGCCCAAAGATAACTCTGCTGCAGCGTCCGGTTGATCGTGATGCGAGCGCTCACGTCCCGGCGCGCAAAGATAACTCTGCCCGTTTTTGGGGATTATGCGCGCGAGCAAGCGCCGCACTCAACAGCATCTCTCCCGGGCCTGGGGCGCCAAACATGCTCAATCAATAAACTTCTAACTGCATTTTCCCTCTTGGGTCTCTCCAAAGTGAAATGAAGCTCTTTGCGAAAGTTCACTGTGGTAGACCCGGCCACTGCTGCCAGATCTACAAGCCTGCTCATCCTCTACTCATTACACCAGCAAAACGCCCACATCTAATCCACCAATAACCACCAGGACAGCAAGTTAAAAGCCGGAGACGCCCACTTCCCGGCCTTCTGAAGTCTGCAAGCCTCCACCGCCCCACCTCCTCCTTCTTTCATCGAAGCGTGCTTGCCTACTGCCTCTGCCGTCACCAGTGCCTAGGCCCCGGGGGGGATTATGCGCGCGAGCAAACGCCGCACTCAACAGCATCTCTCCCGGGCCTAGGGCGCCAAACATGCTCAATCAATAAACTTCTAACTGCATTTTCCCTCTTGGGTCTCTCCAAAGTGAATTAACTATTTGAGTCTTTCAGTCAATTGTGTTGATACAACAGACACATCCAAAGTAATACAGTTCTACAGAAAGTGATTAATGGAGGAAAAACTACCAAGAGGTGGATTAATTAAACACAATAAACCATTTATTCCCAATAAATAAATACATTTACTTTGCAACACAAAATGTATTATGGGTAGACAGGGACTCGAACGCTATATCTTCTACTTCGGAGTCCGTCATAGACCGACTGCGCCACACAGCTGTTGTGAAATGTATTATCCCGCGTATTATTACTAATAACTTGAAGCCTTGATATAGGAGGTTTTACTAAAGTGAAACGTTTTTAAAGCCCATATGTCATATTAGACCACTCTTTTCAGTAAGCATAGAGAACGGTACTGTAATTGTGATTCCAGGTAAAAAAAATATGTTATCGGCGCTAATTAGGAAGATACGAGACGTTTTGTGAGAAAAATCTACTTCCGCATTCTTAAACGCGCCACAAGGTGGTGACGTCACTCTAGGGGACGCGCTGTTCACTGTACTTTATCATAGCCTACTGGACATGATGGATCACGATCACGATACAGCAGAATTTATGGTCCCCGAAAATAATTTTGATGGACCCCAACCATATAATTTTGAGCCAGTAAACAATAATGAAAGAGAAAGAGAAAGGCCAAGAATAAGAAATGATGGGCACAGGAGAGAAATTGAGCGTTGGTGTGAGGAGAATGAATGGAGAACAGGGCAGGTGTCTTGGTAAGCTAAGCTAAATACAAATTTGGTAACTATATTATGCAACTATTTTTACTTCAATTATAAATCCGTTATGAATTCTACATGTAGTTATTTATTGTCATAGCATCATAAAAGGATAGGAAGTAAGTGGCAATAAGTACATTTATCTTATGACAGTATGAATCCAAGTCCGTTTACTTAACATTAATTTGTAAGATTGGTGTTCATTTTACTGAATTATTTTACTTTCTCTCATAAATTAATAAGCTGGTTTGAGTTCAAATAAGATAGGCCATTTCGTTGACTCAGTTTTGTACCAGTCTAAATGTCATTGGCAATGGCTTTTGTTTTATGCACAGTAATAGTTGAGCCATGAGTCGATGACTGTTAAGATCAATTGTTGACTGGTTTGGGTGGTCATTTGATAATTGTCTTTACGCTTTCACACAAGATTAGCCCACTCTTAGTTCCAAGTGTGTAGTTGGCGCATGACTTGGTGACACAATTACGCATGAAGTTGTTAAAGTACACACTGCCCCTCACTATTGCCATTTGTGACAGGTGTTTGTGTGGAATATGCCAGCCAATGGCCAGTGCTGAGGAGAGCATGTGTTGCAGGGAGGTTGGTGCCTTCTGGGCCCTGGTGGAGGGCATCAATCCACCAACAACCATTCCTTGCTTAACCTTACATCCTGGTTTTGAGGGATGCTGCCTAAACCCATATGTGCTTCAGATAGCATACCTTACCTTCAGGCAGGAGTTTGGTCCTCTTAGAGCCATAAGACACGAGTAAGCTTTGTTGCATCATACTGTATATTCATTAAACTGAATTGGTAATGGTAAAATATCTGTCTCCAGGCAATTCCGTTACACCGCTTATCGCCAGGTCGTCCGCTGGGCATATGGCATTCTGGGCAGACACATTAGGAAGCCTATTCCGTCCTGTGTGGTCTCAATCATAAGAGAGTATTTTCCAGAGGGAGGGGAGTACAAAGGCTTTCAGTGGCCAAATTTGGAGGACAATCAATAAATATTAAATAATGAATGATAATGAATGTGTCATGTATTATTTTATTTACAAAGATACAAAGAAAGTAACATCCAAAATAATTATATAATTAATTAATAATAGAGCACAGAGTCAGAGAGGAGCGGCCGCCAGAGCAGACAGGCCCCTGCCCTAAACCCCAACGCGACCCTGTGTCGCTCTCGTCACCTGGCATTAAACCTTGAATGCCGTGCAAGGTACTGATGAACCGCCTCATCCTTGGAAACCTTTTGGAAGGATGCCGTAAGGGGTTGAGGTGCACATGACGCGAGGGCTGCGCTCTTCCCCTTCAACATAGATGGAGACCTGCTGTAGGTTTGTTGGAGGGACACCATGAGAGCTACAGCATAGTCTATTAGAAGGAAAATGTTGATATTATACTTTTAAAACCTTATGAATACTATTCTATTAAGTAAAAGGCACAAACCGTATGAAGGACTCTCCTTGATCGGACGGATTACCCAATCGCCTTTGCGGAATCTGGGGTACCTTACAGCGAAACTGACCTCACCAGCAATGGTCCGATGTAACTTCCGACTGCTGTTGTGATTGAAGTGAAGGGCAGCCAAAAGAAGCCTAAAAAGGAGAGTAGCAGAGCAAAATGCAGTGTTATACAAATAGTATGAATAAAGCAATATTTTTTTCTTTGGGTGTTAGATTTATTCAGTAGTTATAGTAGTAGTAGAAAATGTATTCCCCTTGAGGAAATACATTCACAGTGAGTAAAAAAAATACACAAAGACAACAAACAGGTCCAAACATTAACATGCAAAGAACAGGCCTAAACTTAAACCACACCACATCAACCTCAATATTTAAATTATGTTTTGATTCTTATCTACGTTCTTAAATAGCCTTTTTAGTCAAAAGAATATTTACATTGTATTAAATATACTACTTCAACATAACTTGACCGAAAAGGTATAAAAGATATGCTTATATTTTTTAAGTCTTTCTTATTCAGATTTAGAGTTACTTCACAAACCAATCCAAATAAATGTAATCAGGTGTGGTCTGCCAGTGTTTTTGGCAGCCCTCTTCGTCTTTGTTTTTCGGAAGCTTGAATGCTTTTAGTTTTAGTCACATTTTAGTCAGATGAAAAATAGAAAAGTCGTAGTCAGTTTCATTATAAAAAAGTAACAATTTCGATACAATTTGGAAAATGGGATAAATTCTAATAAATCTACTGGCCTTGTATAGCTTTTTGACAAACAGATTACACCACAATAGGCCCTGGCAGAATTGTCATTGTGAACAGGACTTTTCCCCAAACGCCCGCTCTCCTTGTCCTCTGATCATTGCTTTGAGATTTTTTTTTAACCAACAGCACTGTGTGCACATTTGTTCATCAACATGCTTTCTGCGTGTACACGCTACAGTATTTAAAACTGTCCTAACGATAAAGTCCCTGTGACATTGCTGTCAGACATGCTCCATGCAGGACATACTGTACATGGATAGTAGAGGAGCACAAGGAGAGAGGGAGAGAGGGAGAGAAGGGAAGAGGTGCAGCAGCCTGCAGAGTGTGAGTCCACGTGAGCTGACGGGGCCGCTCTGTGTGACGTGTAGCAATGCGTTCTCATGCTCGTAAACTTTATGCATTATGTTATCGTCTTAAAGGCGTGAACAAATTGATATCATTATTGTCTGTTGACAATAACAACACTGTGGTCTGCACTAAAAAAAGTATTTTGTAAAAAATACAAAACACAACATGTACCTGCTATGCATGCCAAGATAGGAGAATCCTGTGTGTTTGGGAGCAAAGTGGAGAATCAGCGAATGAAAGGCCTCCAGCGAAAATGTTTGATGTTGTGGGGATAGTTGCCGGATGTCCTTCAAAAATGTATTCCTCGTGGCCAGACTCTCCAGCTTAATTGCTGCCATGGATCCTGGAATGAAGAATTTAATTCAGCTTTACATATTCAAATGAAGAGCATCCTCCATACAATTCATTTCGTAAATGGTCCAATCTGTCGTCCTTTACTACATCGAATAACCAAAGCAAGACTATTACATTTACAATCTTTACTTTTCTTTGTTTTACTGTCAATTGTGCTTTCCTGTCCCAAGATCAGGGCACCCCCCACCCACTGCCCAATACCTCCCAGGTGCATCTTATTGGCCTTTTCCGTAGTCTGCCTTTCAACACTCTGGCCATTCCTCTCTTTACCACCAGATGACTGCGAATAATAATATTCTTTGCTCTATTTACAATCATCAGAGCAGTCTTCTGCCACATATGTTTTTCATAACATGTTAAATAAGATTGGGGCAAGTAATCTTAATTTTTGTTATATATTCCTTCTATGCTTTCTCACCTGGTTCCAGCCACTGTTTGTTTCTGGCCTCTCCTTCCAGGTTAGGATGAGCACAGACAGGAAACCACAAGCTCTCATGGCTGTGAATGTCCTGTACATGGTTGACAAGGCTTGCCCATTTCGCTTCCATTACATCTGGATTGCCATCAGGTGTCGATGCGGCAGTCCAGTATAGATGGTTTATGATGGCAGATTTCCAAAGATTCAGTTCCTCACAATGCCGCTCCTTTGTGGCTGAATCCAAAGCCTTCTTCAGGCCTGTAGTTACACAAATACAAAACTATATCATAAAGAATGGTGAGAGAATACTTGATACTTTGTTTGCATGAACTTTACACCGTCTTATTTTCTGTTTTATTTTATTGCCTTAATGGTTAGTGCAGCTCTGTGAGGCAACTCCAGTTGTAATATTGGGCTATAGAAAACCATTGATTGACAGAATGTGTGAGGATAGGAATGAGTCAGTGTTGGAAATCTTGCCTTTACTAACGTGCCAAATGTCAAAAAAGTGCTTGGTCCCACGTGGACATAGCTTCTCACGCACCCATTTGGCAACCTACAAGTGACACAAAATGTACACACAATATAATTAAACATAATAAAATCTATGCTTATGCCTCATCCATTATTCGTCCATACCTGACGATTTCGATCTGTTATAAGTGTAGAGACGTGCAGTTTCTGCTCCGTAAGAAAGGTGACGCTACGTCTCAGTCCCTCAAGCTCGCACCAATTGCTATTTGGAACCTCTGAGCTCTTTGACAGCATTTTAAAGAAACACACACAATTATTATCCCATACACCAACCTTTGACTAAAAATCAGGTTAATGAGCTTCCTCTCAAATAAACCTACTTGCACAAGTTGAAGATCTAACACTTTGTTCAGCCTCTCTTCAATAACAGTGTAGGTGCCATATTTGGCACAGTGTCCCGGAGAGTCAGATCTGTAAAAAAAAAAAGATCTTATGTTAAAAAATAAAAACGCTGTGCAAGTCTAACTTTTTACAGTAAAAAAATTAAAAAATATTTACACTTTTTATATGTACCTGCAGTCACCAGACAGAATAAGTCCACCATTTATCTCCTTGAGCTGCTCCAGGACACTAACTTGTTCAGACCTCCAGGCATCTACAATACAGGGGATTGTATAGAGTTGCTGGTGTCTGAAGTATGTCCTTGCGCTTATACACTGGAGCCCAAATAAATGTAACATTCTAAGTGTCTGCGTAGGCATACAGCCGGAGAAATGAATGGCCCCACTAAGCAGCAAATTGCAGGCTGGCATGTTTCTGTGCATCTTCGGTTGGTTCTGCCATTTTCGCTCAAAGCCACATAGTGAGCAACACTAAGAAAAATAAATGGTATTTTTACTAAACACATCTGAATGCAGTGACATTGTGCTCTAAAAGTTATAAGAATGAAAGTATTCTTTAGTGTAATGAAAGCTTTCATATATTATGCCTTTACAACCTACAAATATCCTCTTGCCTGCTTTATTTTTATGAACGTCCCCTCTTGCCGCTGTATTACACCTGGAGCTTCTTCAAAACAAGCTGGGCAGTTGGTGAATAGGGACATCAACTGGTCTTTGCAGACAATAAATTTGTCAGCAGACCTACCAAGAGAAAGATCATTGTCTATTAATTGTATATTAAATTTTCGACTGTCTAAGCCTGAACCAAATTTTATCTTACTTGGAGTCTCTGTCATCCTCTTGTTGTGCTTCTTGAGAGTCCTCCATTTCAGACATCTCACTTTCAATGTCTTCATCATCCTCTATGCACCAAGAACTATCACACTGTTGGTTGAAGTCTGACGATTGGTCATCGGTGTCATCCAAAATCCGCTTCAGCGGTGTTGATGTTAGAGGGTTGTAGTCTTCTGTTTGAGTACCCACACTTGTCATTCTTGGTTGAACCTGAACAGCTGAAAATAATAATTGCCCAAATGAGAGGCAGAGACGTGTTGATCAATAAAAAGAGTATGTGTATTGCCCAAATGAATTGATATTTTGAGCAAGAGAAAGGCAAGATCCGATCTACAGTGTGCGGCAGAGGATCAAAAGAAGTATGGGCCTCTTGCTCCTGGTCAGGAGCAGTGTGTGGTCCAGATGCAGCTTCACTTACTGCCGGATTATTGTCTCTCAGAATCTGAAACACAAGGAATTTTGTGAACCTAAGCAAAATTTAAATGGCTATATTTTCTTGCTGTGTGATACTTTTTACTAAATATTTGCATTATAAGATGACAGACCAGCAAGCTATAGGCTCATTGACTATACTGGATGCACATTTTGGCTGGCAACTGTGACAATGCCAAAGGCAAGGTAGACCGAGCACTTTTTTACAAACCAAAACGCCACGGAGTGCTACATAAATATTGTAGACCAAGTAACTCGCTCATTCTCCACGTAATATGACATTTTTCATCCACCAGCATATAAAACTGATTACTTTGAAATTCAATGCAGCATGTTAACTGATATAGTATTGCCTGCTCACAGAACCTGAGATAATATCGTGTGAAAGGGTAGAAGACACACAAACCAAGCAACCAATGTTGTAATAGCTTATGGGAGCTGGCCGGGCTGCGAGATGCATGTAACCATGAATGTCTAATTAAACGGTTGTGTCATAATGCCATTGCACACTGGTCAGTCGACCTCTCAAAAGTGTGTCCTTGCAAAAGTTGAGAGCAAAAAAAAAAAGGATCCAATTTAAAAAAGTGATAACACAAAGATAACCGTGGCCAACACTGCTGGTCGCTCTGTAAACAGCTGGTTGTTGCGCACAAAAGGTTGTCTTGCCAAAAATAAAGGTCGGGCATTATAAATATGACTCTTTAGAGTAGCGGGTTTTAAAAACAGACTTAATTTAAGACATAACCCCGATTCATATTCACAAGACAACCATGACTAAACAATTTGCTATCAAAACGCACTTGCTAGCCGCTAATAGGCCTATAGCAACTACGATCAACACTATAAAAATGAAGAAAGCATAAGATATGGGTGACTGTACAGATCACTTATCGAGCAAGAGGTAAAAAGCAGTACTTACTGTAGAGTGCAGTAATTTGTCAGAATTCCCCCGCCCCAGAAGCTGCAGAGAGGCCGCAAACACAGCCCTTCGTTCTGCAGGTCCTTTTAGTTCAACAAGAGACAAAAACCAATGTTAAAACAGTGATAGAAATGACAGATACCAAACCTGATTTCAAAAGGTTATATTGAAGATTTTGCAAGCAATATTACAAGATAACGGTCCGCGAACAGATCTCGCTTCGCGTTCAGATAAGGAGTGGCCCCCGGGGACGTCTCACTGCTCCTTGTCAGACGAAAAAGCAAAAAGTCCCCGTGCCTCCTCCTGTACATCTTTTATACTGTACACCCAAGGTCACTGACATCACAGATTCGTGGACTCTATGACTTCTTCTGGCCAGCTGCCAAAGCCTGCACCTGCTCTGATAACCGCAGTTGTTTTTCTCTTGTCCCCCTCCCATTCTCACACAGACTAACCTTGAACTCACTGCTCTTTGAGATTTACACAAACAAGTACTATTTGGCAATAGAAACAATACTAAACTGTTTTTAGTTTTAACTGGTGCAAGAGTTAATATTCCAACAGTCCCCCTGTTGGCCGGAGAGGAACTCTTCGGACATCCATCACTCTCGTCTCAGATGGCCCATCTTCATCAGTTGATCCAGCATTACATCCTATACTCAGTCTAATCCCAGTCTTCACGACGATCTGTGAACTCCCTAAACCACCCCATGTGACATTATGAAAAATGTGGTGGTCTTCCACTCAGCCCTTACTTCAGACCCGCCCCAAAGGCCTCTGGGCGGACTGAGCATCCAACTCACCCTAAACTACATACATTGAAGTGATCCTATAAAACAATCTATATGTGGGTGTGCTGCGGTGTCTAGTCTGTGTAACAAAAACAATAGTTGCAAGAGCTGTGGAGAAAGAATATGTTTGTGTCGTGCATCAATTTGAATTATGTAATTTTTAATTTTAATTTTAATTTTTATAATTTTTTATCGCATCCCGATTTTCCCAAGTCCCTCTTACAATTTTGCAAGGTTATGTGCGTTATTTACATGCAAGCAGTTATACATTTTTGATTAAAATATTTTGATAATATCATAAAGCATACTCACAACTCCTCTGGTGATACTCTGACAATATCACAGGCCATACTCACCCGTTCTTCTGATGATTGTCCTTTATGGCTTAGGCTATGGTCATCAATTCTTCTGGTTCCCACTGTAGGTCCTGGGTTAGTAGCAGTTGTCTTTCTGCCACCTTCCCTTCCACAGCGGCTGTTATCACTCTGTTACATAAGGATCGTATGCACGGAATACTACCAGAAATCCCCAACAAAACCATAGAGGTTTCTTCCCTGATCTGTCTCTTAGGTCCAATGACTCACCTCTCAAGTCCACTGTAATTGTAAGACATGGTACACTTCCCTGCATAATCCCTTTGTCATGGAAATTATTTTAGAATGGTGTCTTGCAAACTCTGTAGTTGGTGTTGGTGTCCAATCTAATCCAGTATATGCCACCATTGTCCCCCATGATTTATCTCTCATGTCATTTGTCATGTACCATTCATAATCTGAATTTTCTGCTCCCACTTTTTTCCCTTTGTTTACTAATGCTATAAAAGGTACCTGGAATGCCATATGTTCTCCCTTTGCTAAACACAATTGCACCCCAAATAGGTATTGTCGCTTTTTTTGCACATGCTCCCAGTTTATCCAATTCCCTTTTTGGTCTTATTTTTATCCCTGTCCCCTTTGTAGGTTGAATTTTGCGTTCTCTCATTTGTTGCCGGGTGAAATGTCTGAATAATCAGAAATTGAGGAATTGACACCCAAGAGTTTTCTCCTTACCATAGACAGTTGTTGGTTTTGCATACCCCTGGCCTAACTCTGTTTCCCAGGCCCACATAAAAAATCCAGCTATAATCCCTATACCTACCACCATACTCACCCACTCTCGTGTCCTCAACCCTAAGAGTGTCCATGGTCCTATCATGTTGAGAGTACCTGCATGGTGAACACCTCAGTCTTAAAGTCTATCCCATGCATACCAGATTAGTGTTTTCAGCTTTGATTTGCTCAATTGCTCATCTAAATAGTTGATTCTGGATCATGAATATTTTTTTTTTTTTTTTTTTTTTATATAATCAATCAATAATTATAAAAATAATATTAATAATCAATCAATAAAAATAATAATCAATAATCAATCTTCCCCCTGTTTTATCACAATCCTGTGATAAATTAAACATCCCTTATAGGCCAATTTGTCACCCCCACCATTATCACTTATGTCGGATCCAAACCACGTCAGTTAAATGCACAGTCCCCTTGATCAGCCCAATCCATAAAGTCAGAGAAATTGCCAAATTCTTCAATAACCTGAAGTCCATTGACCATAATTTCAAACCCCTGAATCCCAAAATCTAAAAATGGCAATATCCTGATATTCAACATCCTGAACCTCATCGCCCTGACCTTCAACAACCCAATCTCCAATGTCCAGGACCCCAAAACCCTGTCCTCCACCATCTCCAATGTCAAAATCCTGATATCCAGACTCCTGAACCTCAGGGGCCAGAACCTCAACATCCCAATCTCCAAAGTCTGGAAGTCCAGAGCCCCAAAGTCCAAAATCCTCAACTCCCAACAGTTCCAGAAGGTCTCTCATACTATTGTCATCACTAGTCCCTATGCCATCAGACACTTGCATCACAGGGCTATCTGGAGGGACTCTATAGGTGCATTATAGGGTTGCTCCGCACTCCCTAGAACTCCCCATGTTCTAACTAATAGAGTCAGACACTTCCCTCTCTGTCCCCCTGTCGGCCTCCTTTTCTGATGATGTAGTGATATCTTTCATTACATCAAGCAGGGATCTTTCTGGTGCACTAGTGGGCCTAGTGTGTGATATGTGCACAAAGGATGACTCTGTAGTTTGTGAGTCGTCTAAGTAATATTTCAAAGTATACTCGTATAGTTTGGAGATTTTAAATGGGCCTTTCCAAGTTAGCTGATCCCAAACAATGTTTCTGGTTTTTCACATAAATGTAGCCTCCAACTGTAAGTTTGTCTTTTACAGCCTGCAAAGGGGGCTCTGGAGATTTCTGGGTCAGCGTGACAATGTTATCTTGCAGAAACTTCACTGTAGTGACCAATGTTTTCATATAAGTTTTCCCTAGCATCATCAGTGGCTGCTGGAGGTGGGAGCTCCAGTGAACGAGATAAGTTACTGGGCATGTGTCTCCCATACATTAGTTGAAATGGTGACATAAAAATTGGCCTGCTTGGTTCTCCTCTTATTGCCATCAAGGCTATAGGCAGTGCCTGTTTCCAATTCATTTTTCCAGCCCTACACATGTGTGCCAATCTGTTTTTTCAGTGTCTGGTTGAACCTTTCAATCACCCCTTGTGATTGCGGGTGTAACACTGCTCCAAAATGCTGTTTTATATTCAGCCTCTCACATAGTTGAGCCATTGTCTGGTTCTTAAAATGCGAGCCGTTATCAGATCTGATAACTCTCGCTGGGCCGTACCTTGGAAAGATCTCTGTCAAGAATACTTTGGCTACTGATTCTGCATTTTGCTTTTGCCAAAGGAAAAGCTTCAGGCCATCGTGTGAGTGGGTCAATCATTGTGAGCACGTATCTACACCCATCCGCTTTCTTATCAGCAGTCATGTCGATGAAATCAATTACGATTTCTGCCATGGGCCATGGAGGCACTGGGTATGCTCCTATGCCTGCCTTCACAGCCCTTGCCTTAGAGAGCCCTTGACATATGTCACATGAGTCACATAGATGCTGAATGGTTGGTAGCATAAAAGGATGGAACATGTGCCGTCTTAGTTCTGAAAAA